TCCTATCGATTGCACCCGGCCTCTATAGCGAGTCAGCGCCTGAGCCGAGAGAAAGAAACGGCTGCCCGGTGTTACTTTAGGCTCGACGATCGACGATATTGCTACCGCCCTGTTTCCCCTGCCGTCGTTTCTTTCTTCTCGACCCCCCCTCCGGCCAATTCGGCTCCCCCTTTTTCCTTTCTCTCTCTCTTTCTTTCTTTTTTTTTTTTTTTTTTAACTTGTCTCTCCTCTCTACCCTCGGCCTTTTGCCTCTCGTTCCGGAAATCGAGATTGCCACGGCACGGTTTCGATGCATTCTACTGATACCCGTCGGCGAAGCTTCACAGACGGGGACTTGTCCGCGGACAGGTTTAGAAGTGGGATTTTCCACGAGAGTCAGACGCTGTCGCACGGATAGAACGGGGAAGCTTGTTTCGACAGCGAGTTTCATCTCAAACATTTACATTCTAGATCGTAAATGACTTGCTTGTTTAATAACACTAACACGCTTTGTTAGAAGCATCAGTCGGTAAGAGATGGCGTAAGCGTACGGACGCTATAGTGATTATGATAATTTATATTTATATCACAATACTATAAATAAATAACAACTCCGTAATTAATTTTAGTTGTTTATANAATATATATAAGTGTCAGTAAACATTTCTATGGTGATAATAAAATTAATAGCTATTTTTAAATATTCTATTGTTTATATTAGATACACATCTCGACGGAACATAGATGTCGTTGATCTAAATTCTTCGAAGTAGAAGTCGCTACAACACGTCGAAAGAAAGAAAAACAAGACGTCTATAAATCACAGTCAAAGTCGTCGTCATTGATTAGAACCGTTGAGATCAGATTGGAACTGTATAGCAGATTAGAACTGTTGTCCATGAAAATAAATAAAATCATTTAATGTAAGTAAAACTTTTACTGAAAAGTAAAGAGTAAAATTAGATTATCGTTCGTTCTATAGTTATAAGTTATATTAAGCCATTGTTCGTTTTGTTTTCCTTCTGTACTTTGCCACGTGTTTCTATGTGAGATATATATTAGTGCAGTGTCGTCTTAAACTGACACCAAAATTATAAATTAAAAGTAAAAACTCCACACGTTTAATACAATTAACAGTCGATCCTTGAAACGTATCAATGCATTCTTTATCGGCGACTAAACTATTGAATTTTTATACGACATTAAAGTCAAAAGAGATAGAAAAAATATTATATTGTATTACAAGCTTCAATTTATACATTTTGCAAGAAATCATCATTAAATCCCTAAAAACACACTGTTTTATAAAATCTATAAAATTTCCAATGAAATAATCTAAGTTCTAGTTTTAATTTTAACGCTTTACAGTCGTGCGTGTAACACACTCATTTTTTATTTGATATTCAAACCACAGAATGATTTTTCTCGATTGCAATCCAAAAACTAAGTATTAATGATCGCATTGATGAGTCTGAAATACAATTACGTCTTTGTCTAAACAGAAATCGCCTGTACATTAAAAAAAAAAAAAAAAAGAAACAAAAATTTGAAATTCGTCGTATTTGATCGGAATCCTTTAAATAATTCGTCCAAATTTTGAATCATTGTCTTCCGTAAATATAAATATTAATTCACATTAGCTCACACAGCACAGTACGATTTTCCATTTCTCTCTTCGCGTAGAACTCGTCGTTCTTCCGTATCGAAACTTCAATCTTCGAGTCGACAGTCGACGACATTTGTTTAAATTACACACGCGCGCATGTTATTAATTTCACATCAGGTTATCAGGTTGTAAACTAAAATTAACCGACAAAATCACCGGCGAGAGAGAATTGCGTAATGTTGTAATAGTGATTGCTGAAAATGAGTTCGGTGACTTATGGACGGAAATGTAACTGCGATAAAATCAGGCAGAATCCGCTGGCCTAATGTGCCCGTAAATCACTGCTACTCACCGTTTATTATTATTCAGGTTAATCATACATATACAGATTATTATGAGCGAAGGAAACATGCATTATGGTATAAGAAAACACATGTATATATGTATCGCGGTATAGGATGATACGTATATGAATATTTTGGTGTAGGATAATATGTACACACATGCATTATAGCACAAGATAATATGTAAATATATTGTACGAGATAATATGGTATGTGTATTGTGGTATAAAAAAATATACTATGTACAGAGTGTCCCATAATTAGCGGTACAACCGAGTGAGAAGTAGTTCTTTATAAAGAAACGAAATTATAAAGAATTTTAATTTAAATAAAATAATAATAATTTAATATAATAATAATTATTATTATTTAATAATATAATTTTAAATTTAATATAATAATAATTATTAACATTTAAATAAAATAATTTTAAATTTTAAATAAAATTTCAAAGATAAGGAATGAAGTTTCGAACCCTCGTTTTCAAGAAAGTCAATTTTGAATATTTATCGACTGTACTCTAATTCAGCTAATTCTAAATAAGACAGAGAAAAAGCAATTGTCATTGTACGTGCGAAAATAAACGTAGAATAAAATCTTTTTGCAAGATTTGCTTCGTTTTCGAGAAAATTAAAAATTTATCGCGTGTGAATATATTTGAAAGTTTTATTCCTACACATTTCACTCATTTCTCCAAGTAGAATATCCCCGTGTCGATTATTCGCATCTGTTCAGTTCCGGACAAACATCGATTCTTCTCATTTGCATACTCATTCCTTCCGATTCGTTTCATCGCCGTATAAAATCAATCTCCTGCTTGGCTGTACATTATAAAACCTTGTTTATTATTGTTAACAAGAAGAATTGATATGAAGAGAGCGCTTTTCTCCCTCGCAACCACATTTGTTTTGTTCTCGCTCGGTGTCTTTGGTCCCATTTCCACGCGTCCTCGCTAAATCGTCTCTCTCCTCCTCCCCCCCCCCCTTTCCTCATCGTTGATTCGTTCTCCCAGAATGGGATCCGTTCCCAGAGAAATCGAGAGAGAGAGAGAGAGAGAGAGAGAGAGAGAGAGAGGAAAGATGGCACGCAAGACGGCGGCGACGCGAGGGAACGTCGTGCAAATTGCCGAGCGCCGCATCATCCCCCCGGGGAATCTCGCGCTGGCGAAGGAACCCACCCTACCTCCCCTTGCCCCTCCGCGTCGTATCCCGTGAATTTCTATTTATCCGTGGCGACCAAGTCACGTCGCCATGACCCAACGAGAACCAGGGAACCAGAGACAGAAACTGATCGTAACGCCTGACAATTTACGATCGGCCGCTGCTTACGGTGGTCAGCCGGCCGTGCGTGAATTTGTCCCGCGGCGCCAGCCAGGAGTGTCGACGCGAGAAAGGCATCCGGGAAAAATTTCCGCGGTACCGCGGCATCGGACACGCCCGCGGACGTTATCGGATTTCGTCGGTCGCAGAACGCGTGTGAAATATTATTTCGCGAAAGATAAACGAAGCGGCGGGTCGCTCGTTGCCGGAGGAATTTCACGAGCGCCATCGCACCCCCGCCGTGTTTCGCCGCGTAAATAATCCCCCCGCCGGAATCGAGATTAAATATATCGTCTCGCGCGGAGGTCAAATTACGCGTGAACGCGCCTACGCACGTCGCGGTACGTACGCTTTTTCAACCGCTTGCGCTGGCGACTGATTCGCGGACCATAACGAGCGACCGAATCGTGTACAGCAATTTCGTCGCTTTGTTCTTCTTCTTTGTTGAACTCGTCGGTATGATACCACTGGATAGAAATTATTAACAAGTAATAAAGCTTGTCATTTGCTTTGACTGGATTACATTTAAATACAGGCCGCCACGTATTGCCATCTAGATTTATTTCATTATTATTAAGGATGGCGGAAAATGTCTTCAGATGAAGTTGAATGGTTTAGAAATGATACTAGTTGAGGACGTTAACGTTTTTTTTTTTTTAGCGGAATCATATATTTTTTATATTTATATTTATATTTATATTTATATTTATATTTATATTTTTTATTTTGCTCGTCACGAAGGTTAGCGACTTATTACTGAGATTGATAATTAATTGGTAATAAATAAATAATAGATAATAAACGGTTCAATTAGCGACAAAATTTTTTGTTCATCTTGAGATGATTTTCTCGTACAATAGCTAAATAGTTGACGATATGTCTACTAGTAGTATGAATGAACAACTTTATTCTAGTATATTGAGTGTTCAGTTTCTTTGGGAAACGAAATGAAATTTTCAGCGAATATGTATATATATATATATATATGGGCTGCACATCAATGATTCAATTTCCGTGTTAAATCTATTTTCTATTTTTGTTAAAAGTTAGCAAACATTTTCATTACTTTCTCCGTACACAGGACTGCACTTCCTGGTGCTTCTTATTTAAATATCTGTGGCATTGAAGTTCCTGGTGAAATTTAAAATTTAAAAATATATCTGTTAATATAACCTTGAATTTGAGAAATCTGTAGCTACGAGGAGAAACACGAGGAATGTGTTGTCATTTCTGAAATGTAATTGAAATTTAATCAGTTATTAACGCTTCCTTGCTCTCTTTTTATAGTATATATATATATATACATCTCGACTCTGCATATTATTGTCCCTCTTTCATCTCCATGTATATACCAGCGTGCCATTTTCAAAATAAAAATACAGAACGCAATTTTGATTGTTTTCGTGCAGGATAAATTGTCACAGAGGTATTTTCACGCTACAAGTAAAATAGAAAATAAAGAAGAAAGACGGGACCAATCGTACAAATGGAACACTGCATCGCTACACTTCCCTCCATTTTTCCTTCAATATCTTTCCTTTGAAACCTGCGTTTCGCAGTCGCGATCAACGCGTAAATTCAAATGTCCCGAAACGATTAACACGTGGCGGCGCTGTCCCTCACGGGCGGCCATGATTAAAACCCTCGGATGGTGAAAGATGGCGACGAAGCTACGTGCGGCATTTCCCAAAAGACGATCCCCTCGGTGCGAGAACCGCGAAGACATCGGCAAGAGGGGGGCCAAATAAATACCTGGCTAAATCGTCCGGAAAACTCATTCCATCGCCGGCTACGTTTTAGGAAGCCCGTTTCGCCTAACCTATTCTACTCCTGCTCCATCTATCGGCGTGTGTGTACCGTGCAATCTCGAAAGTGAGGCTTAAGTCACGACCGGCTAGGTGTGACGAGAAAGGAACGAGTCGTAAGTTAAGTCGTAAACGCGTGAGCGTTAAGTCGGTGGACGCGAGCGATCGACCGCGTCTTTGCTGAATAAGAAGTTGAGAAAATAAGGGACGAGTTGTTGGCGAAGTTATCTCGTTTGAAACAACTCTCTCTCTCTCTCTCTTTCTCCGGAGCAGATGGCGGCGGAGAACGTTTGAATCGAGAATGCAACGGGCTGATCGGTCCGGGAGAAGGTGGATTTGGCGTTTCGGACGAGCAGACGGATGGTACAACGCCGGGGGCAAAAGGATGGTGGATTCCTGCGATCCTCGAACGTACGTAAAGCGAGTGCAAGCACTTTGTCACACGCTGCCAGGGCTTGCAATCTCGTGGCGCAATAAAATAAGGCTCCCGCCCGGGTCCTCGACGGCCCGATGCGAGGGAAAACAGATTTTCTAGGCCGATGACCTTCATAAATAATGGAAACTTAGCTCGCAGCCTTTGCGAGCGTTGTCCTTTGCTTATCCGGTTCTTTCAGACTTTGTCTTGGATCGATTCGACTTTAATCTTAATTCGATTCGTTGATTACGAAGACGTACAGAATTAGAAACGTCCACAGCGTTCAGTAGCTGACAAATTGATAATACCGAGGAGCCTAAGTGAAATTGATCGATAAATTTTAGTTAACTGTACGCATAAATACACATTGTACGGATTTGAAGCACTGCACGCGTACGAAAGTTCAGAGTGCCGTTTTACTCTTTAGACTTAGACTTTTTTACTTTCTTACTTTGTGGCCTCTTGCGCTGGAATGTCTCAAATTGCAACATTTTCTCAGTTTTAAGTATATTTCAATGTAACAAATGATACGTTTATTGTTAATAAATTATACGTTTGTTGTTAATAATTTCTATCCAGTGATAGTCACGCCGACGAGTTATTGTATACGGTTCGGTCACTCGTTATGGTCCGCAGTCAGTTGTCAGCGCAACTGGGTTAAACTTCTGTTTACGTTTTTCCGCGAGAAACGAGGAAACAGTTGTGGTTGCAACTTTGATCTTTAAAATACAATTAATGAAAATTTCTGTAGCACGCAGGGAATGAATAAAATATTTAATTTGCTTCGAGAAGCAGTTTCTTTCGAAACTTCAACATCAATTTTCGCACGATGGTTACATTTCTTTTGTGCTTCGTTTTCATTATGGTATGTATCTTTCCCGGCACTGTTTTACTTTCGAATTCTACTTGTTACAGTACGAGGTTAATACATAACACATTTTTAAAGATCCAAATGGATCGCTCGGCCAACTTTGCTTTTGATACTAATTTTCATCAAATTGATCGACAAATTCTGTCAAAAAGTGTTGTCTAACTTTCGCTGTGTATAAAGAAACATTGGCAATTAATTGGCAAAATGAGTAAATACATGCATCATTTCTCGACGATGAAAACGATACGACGTCAACTCACCTTAATGTTGCTGCAAATTCACCGATCGTCAAAATGATAAAATATACAAAGTTTCGGATCATCTAAATTTATTTACTGTTGTATGTAAAATCTTCTCAAAGCAAAGCTGTCAATTAACAGAGCAGACGCGATGAAAAGAATTTTCCCTCAAAGTGATTTTATTCAGTTTCAATTGAAACGTTGATGCTAACTCGACGGCCAGAAACCTGTACAAAATCAGCGAACCGAGTCAGATACATGGGACCGAGAGTAGAAAATTAAACGCTCTAATTAAATAACGCAAATTAGTCACTTTCGGTGGTTATTCTTGAAAACAGATATCCAAGGGTCAACTTTGTACGTTCTCTGAAATTCGAGTCGATGCAAAACGCGAAATATCGCGGCCGAGTTAAAGATGGCTCGCCTTGGAAAACGAGATTATCTTCGCGAGCAATTATCGCATAATATCGTTTGTGCAGGCGTCTCGCTATTAATATACGCCTAACGATTGTACACGCACGCGGAACGAAGATAAATTATTCAGCCGATACAAAGTACCTCTGTTTCGAAGATGGTTACACGTCAGCCAATGCGGAAGCTGTAACCGTGTACTATTTCGCGTAATTGAGCGATCGTGGCTCGAGCAGCTTCCGGAATACCCGTAAAATCGTTACGCCGAGTAATCTCGCTTATTGAATATTTTACGAGCACCGGCAGCGTCTTAAGCGCGCGCCCTTACAGTAGTATAACCGCGAAATGGGTCAGACACGGTAATCAAGGGGGCCAGGAAACTTGGTGGCGACGTAAAACTACCATCGGCCTGTAGAATGCAGAAACAATAAGGCAGTACGTGCAATCTCTGCGTTTAGCTTTAAGCCACGTACGCAATAACAGTTGATTATGCGTATTTCTTTTTTATTTTTTTTTTTTTTCACTTTACATCCCTCTGGCATCGTGGCTCGTTGACATTGCGATCTCGGTTCAGAGCGGTCGAAATCGAGTGTAAAGATATTTTATATATTATTATATATATATATAACATAGGGTATATATATATAGTATAATATAAATATACTTCCTATGTTCCTAAAAATGATTTTTAGGATTTTCAATGAGAGTATATATATATATATATATATATATATATATATATATAATATTGTATACATATATATGTAATATAGGGTATATATATATATATATATATATATATATATATAGTATAATATAAATATACTTCCTATGTTCCCAAAAAAAAATTTTTAGGATTTTCCGATGAAAATTCAAATTGATGAAATGAACAGAATATTTATAAGAACAAATTTACAATAATGAGAGTATATATATATATAATATTGTATATATATAATGTAGGGTATATATATGTATATATATAGTATAATATAGTATATATATATATATATTTCCTATGTTCCTAAAAAAAGATTTTTAGGATTTTCAATGAGAGTATATATATATATATAGTATAATATAAATATACTTCCTATGCTCCCAAAAAAAAATTTTTAGGATTTTCCGATGAAAATTCAAATTGATGAAATGAACAGAATATTTATAAGAACAAATTTACAATAATGAGAGTATATATATATATATATATATATAATATTGTATATATATAATGTAGGGTATATATATATATATATATAGTATAATATAGTATATATATATATATATATATACTTCCTATGTTCCTAAAAAAAGATTTTTAGGATTCTCAAATTGATGAAATGAACAGAATATTTATAAGAATAAATTTACAATAAACGGTCGAGTTAGGGATTTAGACATTATGTGAATTATAACCTATGTGAATTATAGGAAATTTAGTACATTATTAAATTTAATGATCAAGTCCGGTCGACTTTAAAAATCTTACACGACTTGAGTTTAATTCATCGACTCTTATCCACGAATAAAATAAAATTAATTCAACTTTATGTACATTATAGATACATAGTTGTCTTCATTTCTACTAAATAAGACGTTACCCTCTCAGCACATCTCACATCTCACAAGCATCTCTTTTCGAATTATTATTTTTATTTAAAATTTCTGCGACTTTCAATTTCCGCGTAAGGCGCGTAAATTCACGAACTTTCCTCGACTTCGTCGGGCAACGTGCGCAAGTTTAGTCGATGAAACTGGCTAATTGGACGCCGCCGCCGTCGTCGGAAAGACGTCGGAGGAACAGTTCGGGTCGAGTGACTCGCCAACTTTCGTCCTCGAAGAAAGAATTGCCCGATACGCATCGTCGATAAGATTCAACGGGCATTCGCGTACACCGCGAAATAACGGAAGTTATTCAATCTCGTGGAGACGGGGACCGCGAAGTTGATAAAAGGAAGGGGGGAGGACGTATCCCCGCCTCTTGGAGCCGCCGAGAATATTCAGAGGTGAAATTGCACCCGGGGCCGAGCCACCGGGTAAATCATCCGACTGCTGTCGCTATTGTTTTATCCGTCTGTGGAAATAAAGTTGCAATTTCACGGTTCGAAATTTATTAGCGGGGCAAGTTTCGGCCGCGCGCGGCTGAAGAAGCGAAGAACAAGGACGCGAGCCGACTTTGCTTTTAGAAGCGAGTAATTCATTCATCCGTCCTTCTATTCGCGAGATGAGGCCAACGATTACACGGTTACTCGACATAAAGGAGGTTCGTTTATTTTCAAGCCGGAACTGTACTTGTCATTCATAACGCATCGAGACACGGATCAACGTGATCCGGTTCATTTCACGCAATTCTATTACGTTTCTTAAAATATCGTCGTTCAAATGAGGGCGAGTTACATTTTCTGGGACGATGTGATTGCACACATTATTTGATCATCTTCTTCGTAGCAATCCGGTTTAAACAAACTTAATTAACTGATTCGAAATTTGGAAGCGTCACGTTCGAAATTGTCGGATGTTAGGCGGGCTTCATCGAAAATTAATGTGCGACCCATTTGCATCCGAGAATGAAATATCTCTCCACGCACGTGTCGTTCATGTTACGCTTTGGGCGAGATATCTCATGACACAACATCGTTCATGTAACGCTTTGAATGAAATATCACGCCTTGAATTATTTCGCGTGCCAGAGATATTAAATCATTTGTTTGTAAAAAAAGAAAAAAAAAAATGAAGCGTTCCCCCTTCGTTTCACGTTGCGATCTAATGTTTGCCTTCGTGTCGATCGCGTGTCCCAGGCTGTTGTAGCATTTTGTTGGAAAATTTCGTCTCTCGGTTTAGCTATTAACACCAAGAACTACCACAGTGGTCAAACTGACCGGTTCTCGTGATTTCTGTTAAAAATCTTGCACATATAAAACAACGTATTTTTAGAGATTTAAATGATTTCTCGCGAAATGTGTAAATTGAAGCTTGTACATTCTATTTCTTTTGACTTTAATTTCTCTAATGGAAATTCTAATGGCAGTTTTAGTTA